TTAATATATATAAACTAAGAAAGAAATTTTGTCTTAACTAAATACATTTTTTTTAATTTATAATTGAAAAATACAAAAGAATTTTCTAGAAGAAGAAGGGAAAGAGACGCTGCGGTAACCTGGTTTCGGGTGAACCTACTAGCTTGTTCCCGAAGGCGTGAGGCAAGCGACGGGAATTTTCGGTTATTAATCTACACCTCCCTCTTCATGCGTTCTCTCTAACCGCCAGTTGAATGTGGCCGCCGGTGCAAGTAGAGGTCTATGGGGCTACCATTGACTGGGTCTTGGAGCCCCCTGAACTCATAGAGGGGGATCTGGTGGAGCTCACGATCCCCGGGCGCAACATTCGACACGTTGACGACCAGTTTGCGTGGAGGTCCATAATCTTGTCCGAGGACGTGTGGCTTTGGACGTACAGAGAGCACCGGCCGGGGCAAGGAGTGGGAGAGCCTACTTGTATTTGGAACCGGGTGCGGTCAGGGAGGCCGTGGTGGGCCTCGCGACGACAGGGACTAGTGGCACAGTTAGCAGGGCGTTATGCTACCTAGGAGAAGAGATAGCTGCCTTCCGAGCGGAGGACTCGAGCGACCCGTTGACCCTATTTCACGGACGCCCTCCTCTTGATATCACGGGCGAGCTGGTGGTAGCACGGGACGGATTTTTCCCGTACAGCGTTAGGAGCCAACGGGCGATAGTTCCGACGTTCGTAGTAGAGAGCGTCTTTGGAGGTATTGGTGGAGTGGTCGAGACATACCTGACCTATCAGGATTTCAAGATCCTGGCGAGAAGGCCTGCCGACCTAGACTACATCTATTATTCGCTCGCAACCGGTGGGCCTCGTTGGGGAGACGAGAGGGTTCARCTTATAGAGCTGATCCGCTCGATAGACGACGAGTGGCCCCAGTCTCCGTGCGCTTGGGATTGGCTATACCGTGAGCTCCGAGCAGGCCCCGAGTACGTGACCTGCATCGGGCGGCTCTTCTCAGACGACTGGGAGAGCTGGTGGGGAGAGGACGCCGGGCGACCTCTGATATACGGCCATCAGTTGGCAGAATACTACCAGGGTATAGGATAGGCGCCATACCGCGTTGAGGATGAGTTTGACGACGAGGGTTGGGAGCGAGAGGACGACGAGGACGCCTGGGAGCCAGACTGGGTCGACCCAGAGAGTGAGGTTGACGAGGAGGAAATTGACATTACAGACGCCCATTTTTCCAGGACAAGAGTAGCAGTCCGGGCGTAGGAGGTAAAGGAGTACATTAGGGCGACGGTTGAGTGAGCTTAGCTACTGATCCTACTCGACCATACTGGACCTGAGTGCGAGAGTTGTCTGAAGGGTTAGCAACGTCGAGAGATGGGGTGCATCRGAGGGAGTAGAGTGATGCTGACCGAGAGTAGGAGAAGAGATGAGGAGTGATTCAGTGGTCTGGTTAGCTTATGTTATCTCACGAGAGTCCGAATCGTATAGTGTGAGGAAGCTTGTGGGACCCAGAGAGACGGCGGTTGGATACGACATACCACTTCCTGTGGCGTTAGAAGAGGCAGAGCGTGTACCGATACGATACTTGGGAACGTGGCTCGCAGAGGGGTTCTTCCTTTGGACAGTGATACTACAAGACGAACGACCCGAGAGGACTCATGATCTAGAAGGGGTCGGACATCTGATAGCGGATAGAGCACACGATTTAGAGATAGGACTGACGCTCGCAGGGGCGAGCAGGAGTTGGAGGAGAAGCGAGTCGTTGGCCAGAGTGATCGTTAATCAGCAACTGGCGAGACTCTCATGAGGGAGGACGAGTTGGAGCTGCGTGGTATACGGTCCACCACATCCGACCCTCTACCCGAGAGAGGATTGGCGATTCGGACTTCCTACCTTCGTGATAGGGCAGACCTATGGGAGCGTGGATCGTTTGAGTAGAGCAGTGGACCACACACTTTACGCGCTCTTGGAGGGCTTAGCACCCCGCTTCAAGGAAGTATACTACGCCATTTGTATGAGGTGGGGGCCGCCCAGTAGAGAGACGCTTGACGACATCATAGACGTTACTAGCTGGGTGGACTGTCTGAGGCCAATCGATCTGATTAGGTACTATAGGAGACGGGCAGAGATCGATTACGCGGGGCTAGAGGATGTGAGATTTTTCTTCGAGGCGCAGCTTATGGAATGTCGGGAAGGACGGCCACGGTGATGCGTGTAGGAGAGCAACTGGTAAGCGCAGGATACACTATGACAACACTTCTCTGAGCGTACGTAGACGAGGACTTGACAGCGAGGGAGTGCAGACAACGAGCCAGGGATTTGATCCACGAGCGTAGAGCTGATGTACTGGCGCGAGTGACCTTCCAGACCTCGATTTTCTATGATGTGATGATATGGTCTCATGGTTATATGAGCGCGGAGCACTACCACGATGAGACGGTAGCGGAGGCTAGAGCGAGGGTGAGAGGATGAGCTGGAAAAAGATGTGGACTGAGTATGGAAGAGGAGAGCGAGACAGTCGGAAGAGTGAGAAAGCGCGTTAAAGAACCACTCTTGAACCAGGTAAAGAAGTTGGGGAACAAGTTAAGGGAGATCTGGTCGTGTCAGGACGAGAGCAAGTTGCGTAGGGCTGAACTCGTGACGAGAGAGTTAGAGAATCTGTTTAGGGAGGAAAGAGAGATTATCCAGGCATTGAGATCAGACTTTCTGGAGAGGGTAAAGGCTAGAAGCGTATCACGCGAAGAAACTAGTGAGCGATCTGCAGAGAGCGAGACAACGGAAGACAAAGTAACGCAGGGAAGTAGCGACAGGACATGAGCGGTACTGCAGTACACACGACGGATCGGTACTCATTATATGTGGTACGGAGACTGGACGGACCATTAGTGTTAGTGGTCATAGAACTCCAGCTCCATACCAGACTGTGCATAGTTGAGGAGGCAGAGTGTGTCCGCCGCGCGCTGCGTGAGGCTAGGGGAACAGGACTTTGGATTGGAATAGAAGGAGGACGGAGGATAAAATACGTACTCCAAGTGACACTTTTCGAAGGGCGGTCTCGGATAAGGGCATGGTACGAGACGATCAGAGAGGCTTGAGAGGTTGAAGATAAGCGAAGCCATGAAAGCTGGAGAGTTAGGGAGAGTTGTAACAGATGGTGCAATACTCAGGGTGTTAGCCGCTCACGACCGGTACTGGAAGGAATCGATAAAGACTTTAGAGGCGATAGAGGATGGTGGAAAAAAGGAGGACTTTGAGACATTTTATGACATATTGGAGTGGTCGGCGATAAGGTTACAAGTGCTTATAGCACTAACTTACCTCAGCTGCTAGACAGATGACCTCGTAGCCGTCTGGGAGATAAGGGAGTAGAAAAAGAAATTGAAAGCTCTTGGAAGGATAGTGGAAGCTAGAAAGGTCGATGAGCGACTTTGGATGGCAGTAGGAGGGCCTTTAGCGGGCTAACCGATTCAGGACAGGGCTAGGAGAACTAGCAAGGAGGACGGAGAGAGACGCTCAGAGACTCTTGAGGGGTGTTGATCAGGAGACATTGGCTAGGTTTGGGACTGCGATCTGTCTCAAGGATAGAGGTCCTGTCACGGGCGTACTGCGGATCTGGACACGCACGGCCTTGTTGGCCAATCCTGAAGGAGAGGTTACTTAGACACAGGGATTCTTGGGATAGAGAGAGAACACGAGATCTGCGACCGGTACGAGATACTGGAGGTGGTAATCAAGGCAGTCGAGAGCTAAGATTGGAGGCGGACGCGAGCCGTGACAAGGAAACGGGTCCGGGCAGCAGCGACTGTCACATGTCCGGGCTGCAGCGACTGTCATAGGGTCGGGCTGTAACAGTTGACTAGAATACGTAACTGCATCTTCTGGCGGTCAAATGGAACCCGACACGATAGGGCCACAACCGACCACGGGCGAAGCGGGAGAGGAGTACAGGACATCGCCCGATCGAGCTCTGTGGGATCTGAAGGAACGAATTAGGCGAGAAGCACCGCTGAGATGGGCTAACCAAACCAATGACGGAGGGTCCGACGTAAGGGGCGAACCAGTTACGACAGAGCCGCAGGAGGCTCTAAAGACGGGTACCTCGAGCGGACGACAAGCGACGTGGCGACGCTCCCCCGAGTACGAGCAGAGGGACACCATAGCGGACAGGTACAGAGACGACTGGAGAGAGAGTTTGAGGGATTCCTATTGGAGAGACAGAGATAGAGACAGGGCGCCGCCCAGGCGAGTCTTCGACCCCCAGACAGGGGAGTCACATCCGCTCCCTTACAAGAGCAAGGATCGCTATATTATTACGCACAAGGTCTCAGAGCCTCCTACCTTCAGGGGCTATGGTATCACAGAATATCTGGAGAAGTGGGAGCTTCACGCCAGCCGGAGTCAGTGGTCGGAGGAAGAGAT